TATGGTTATGAAGATCTGAGCGGGGGAGCATAATTTTAGAACTGCTTAATCTAGTCTATGACAATGGAGGAAATCTAACATTTGGTTTCAATAATCAATGAGAGTTAGGTGCATTGGCATAGGTGATCATATAGGGCTTACGAACTAAATGGCTTAGATAACGAATTACACTGACTGAGAGGTAGGTAATTTGGTTAATCTAGGACTCTTTATTTTGTCTGAGAGGAATTATAAAGAATATATATGTGTGATCAAACAATGAATCATACACAAACAGGATTACATGAATCAAAACTGAAACATAAAGATAGGAAGGTAATTGACCCTTCTGCTCTTCATTCTGTCAATTGACTATTCTCACTCTCCCAAGTGACAAATCTGTTCAACTTGTTTTTTTTCTTGTTTTGCACAATAATCAGATTTTAAGTGGTTAACTGTCATTTCTGTGAAACGACCCTACTTACCGCTAGCTAATAATTTTAAGTAGGTTTTTATAAATTTCTTTTGGGAGTGTCAACGACTCATTCACCAAGTGGCCATATTTCTCAGGTGTTTCTGTAGGAATTGTCAAAGTCATTCGGGAGTAGATGCAACGTAATTGGAATATTGAATTGAAACACATCCATCCGGAAGTTAATTTTGCGACAAACTGCTTAATTGGTTTAAAAGCTGAAGAGGAATGGGGAATTAGAAAGTTAGAACATCCACCGGCGGTTGTGCCTTGGGTGCATCACGATGTAGTCGGGGTCTTTGCGAGTTATGCCCTAAATAACCGAAGTATTTGATCATGAAGATCAAGAGCAATCAAATTTTGTCAAATCTTTAACATACTAGGTAGAAATCAACTTGCAAACAAAATTACGACACACATAAATCTAAAATATTACAAAACTAAATGAAACAACATTGAGTTTTCTGTACCAAACATAAACTTTTATCAGTCTTAAGCTAAACATCTTAACTGGTCTCATATTAGAAGTCAATTTTTCAATGATGCTCCGAAAGGATGAGAATGTTCATAACTGATTAGCGCTAGTAAGCTAACGCATAGCCAAAGCAGAAGAGGTTGTTGTTGTTGTCGCTGTAGAAGAGCCATTGTGATCTATGAGTTGGAGAAAAGATGGCTTTTACAAACCCATTTGTACATCCCAAAAGTTAAGTCAGCAAAGTGGTGCGCAAAGTGGAAATTAGGAGTGCGCAAAGTGGTGGCAGCAATTGATAGTTAAGTTATGGTTCGAAAGGTATTTAGTGGCCAGATTCTTGCGGGTGTTTATGTAGGAATTGTTAAAGGCATTTCAGGGTTGAATGGTTGATGTTGTAGTGGCGGAAAGAATATAAACACAACAAATCAGCGGAAACAAATCTCAGGAAAAACTCCTTTCCTACTATCAATAAAATAGAACAACCAACCAAGCCAAACAAACAAGCAAACAATCAAAAGAACTAATATAGTAAAGTAGGTGTAAAGATTTACGTGAAAAATTCAAATCGGAAAAAATCACAGGTCTGTAACAACAGTTAAATCTCCACTATCACAATAATGGAAAAATAATCTTCACTAACCGGTGGATACACAGGATTTCACCCTAAGGTAGATTACAAAAAAAACTCTTCTTCCAGACGAACACCTAAATCACAAAGTAGGGATTGAAAGGATCTCACCAAAAGAGAACTAATCTGAAAACTAACCGGAGGATTTGTATATCTTGTTGAGAGTAACACACATGCAAACTTGCACCAATAACTGATTCTATTGTGTCACCCGATCAAAGTTTTAAAGTGAAACACTTTCTTCTCCTAACGCCAAAACCTCAGAACTAGCTTTTCTCTCTCGCATACAGAATTGTGCGACTGAACTTTTCTCACACGAAACCCACATGCGGATACCCTCTTTTGTTTGCTAAGTCACGGCCAAAAAAGAACAAGGGACTAAGGGTTTATATAACCCACGACCAACACCCCAAAACCAAATCTAATTGGATTTTGGTTTCAAACCTTGCTGGGCCAATTAAAGGGAAAAGTAACCCAACAAATGCAACACGGTTGGAATATTGAGTTAAAAGACATTCATCTGGAAACTAATTTTGCGGCAAATTGCTCAACTGGTTTAAAAGCTCAAGAGGAATGGGAAGTTATAAAGTTAGAACATCTGCCGCCGGCGGTTGTGCCTCGAGTGCATCACGATGTAGTTGGGATCACATGCGTAAAATAATAGTTTGATGTTAGACTTCTATCTAATGTACCAAAATAATAGTAATAATATAATATAATATCCTAGAGGCAATATTTTATCTTGTAATAATCCATGTAATAGTTCAATATGAAAATCAATAATTTGCTTATCAGGGTAACTACAGTTGATCGAAGTGAGTGAGTGACAGTTCATTCGACAACATCAAATGAGAAAACTACCTAATTACATTCAATTACGTACAAGTGCTTATAATTAGAGATGATTGTCATTGCCCAAACTTTTAATTGAATCTTTCACCTTTTCGGTCTAAAACAGTGGTTTTTAGTGATCATTTAGTTTAAGGAGCATTTTAAAACTTCCAAGTGATATATTACTGGGGTTGCGAATTATGGAGGTTGGTATTTATAATTGTTTTTTTTTACTCGAGAATAAACGCCATTTTTACATAAACACTATTATGCAGGAATCGTTATCATAAATTTAAAACCAATTTGAGAGAGATTGTCATGTAAATTTAAAACCAATCATTGTCATGTAGGATTTTCTCTCCGGTTTTTCTTTTATAATATATTAATAATAATATACTATAGATGTAATAATATAAGTAGTCGAGGTGACTGAAAGCATTGCATATCATACAAAGAGAAAGTAGTTTTGTACGTACCCGAATGGGAATAAAAATATATTTTAATAATCATTCAATAAGTATTCAAAATATTTTAAGTAACTGAAACTATTGATATATTGTACGTAAGTTCATGTTTATTATTGTTACTAATTTATTATAAAAATTTTCCGAAATGTTAAATAGCCTTTTTTTACCGCTGATGAATTTTCTGAACACTAAAATAAGATTAGCGATCGTATTTTAGAAAATGGATTTAATTGTATCATTTTTTTACAGCCTGACCATTTTGATCTTTCCCCATTTTGAAATGTAGTTAGAATCAGAATCATAAAATGGACATTTGTTGTTTTTGAGGAAAGAAAGTAAATTATGATTCTAAAAAGAAAAAATCGGATAATGAGAAAAATAAAATGGTTCACAACACCTTTCGGCATCTTTTCGTGAAATGGATACGACATTCACCCTTGGATTTATATTCAATCTTGGGTTAGACACTTAGTGGGAGATCATTGCATCTTTTGGTATTTCGTCTGTCCGTTGGACTACTTGTTAGGATAACCATCTTTTGGTATTTCAAATGCAATGCCCTGCGCTAACAGTTAAAAGAAGCACACTATGTTCTCATTTATGTAATTAGATTAAGATATCGGAATGTGTTTCTATAGTACCCTCGGGTTTTCTGTTAATCTAGTATTTTTTCCATTCGAAGTTGCTAGGAAATCGGATGTTCTATATATCCTTATACACATTGATGGTTCCATAATTACAATTTGGATTTATTTCTAAAAAAATTGTAAAAAATGATAACAATATCTTACACATAAAGCATATAACCATACATTGTTTAAGAATCATCAAGAATCTCAATGAGTATATCCGATCAGTCATATTGGCAACCTTTCTTATCGGTAAAAAACGGATGTTGTTGCTCTAAGAGATTCTTAACAAAACGTTGTTGATGAAATTTGGAGTAGTACAATCGTGTTGCTGAAAATTACTTTTGCATATAAATTCACACAAAAAAGTAATAAATAGCATAAAGGAAACACAAACCTTTATTCGTCTTCGCAATGATGACCTCTTACTAACTTGTTTTATTGATTTTTTCTTACCTCTCCATAGTTGCATTAAATAAAAAAAAAATTGGTCTAAGTCTGTTAAGATTCAAATAAAGATGAAAAGAAAAAGAACAAACAGATACCGCAATTTTGAATGAGATATCAATATTATTGGAGTGAGCTTTATATAGGTAGTTTTGGAGGACACACAAAAGTGTTTTGATATAGATTAGATTTTATTTTAAAATTTAAGTGTGATAATTTATAATTATTTCAAATTCAAATTTAGTAAAATTAATCAACCAGATAAGGAAAAATATTTATGTTATCCTTTTATTTGGCCACAAATTTTTTGTAGTTTGAATATAATTGATTGATTCCGTATTTAATGTTGAGTGATTTGTTTTAATTTGTGAGTGGATGTGATAAGATGTCAAAACTTACGCAAATGGTACTTAATTTATCTTTTCATAAATGCTAACTAATTTGATTAATATTTTAATGGTAAGGTAATAAAGCACACTCTATTTTAAATTATGCCCAAGAAAGAGCGCAAATTTGTTTATTTAATTTGGAGGACCTTTTCCTAATTACACTAAGATGTTTTTGGGGGAACATTTTAGAAAATTACAGTTAGAATTTTATTCTAGGTGGCACTTTCAGGAATTCATTTAGTTTACTCTTTTCGGTTTCTCTCTTAGTATATTATACATAATCTAACTCTAACGAGTACGACCCTTACATACCCTAGTGAAAAAGCCAAAAAAAAAAAAGGAAAAGAAAAAAAAAACATAATAAAAATTGAAAATAGTTATGGGCCAAAAGTGAAGCTAATTTGTAATTAAGGGTATCGGAGTACAAAGTTTGGTGCTAGCCTATAAATATAAGAAGCGGCACGCTTTCTTTCTCCTCCCTCTTGTTTCAAAAGAAAAAAAAAAAAAAAATAGAAGAAATTATTCTTTCGACCCAATGTCTCTGTTCTTCTCCGTCATCATCACTCTGCAGAATCTGTACGATCATTACATTCTTTTCTCAATTTCTATTTCATTTTTTATTTCAAGATTGATTTCCGTCGTGCCCAGTTGTAATTTCTTGGACAATTTTCATCGTCGGGAATACGAAGCATGGTAAAAATCGTTTCTTGAAGCCCATAAGGGTGTTGAAGAAACGCATGCAGCGGGAAGAGGGTCGATGGGTTCAAATAAGGGATTCCTGAAAGAGCGATTTCTTGTTGAAGCAGAGGGTGGGAACCGGGAGTACGAATTTGGCCGGGAAATACAGTTCTCGAAAATCGGCAACGATCAAGAATTTCTGCGGCCGCGACCGCCACCGGCAACAAAGATGGGCCGATGGAAAGCAGTGGCAGTTCGACTACAAATAATGATACTCTGGCATACATGGACTGCAGTCCGCAAATCAGCCCCAAGTTATCCATCGATGAAGCACGGTGTGCGTGCAATGTGGCGAAGGAACTTCTGCCTCTGTTCGTCCGTCACTAATGGAAGTTAATTTCTACGATTGGGTGTGCTTGTTTTGTCATAAAGTGGAGAACTTTAGGGACATTAATGGCGTGTTCATCTGCCCCAAATGCCTGTTGCCAACGGAACGTTTGGATGCCTGGGAAACTGATCTCAACGGGTGTCTCCTCTGCAATGACATTGTTCATCCGCAATTGATCGGATCGTACTGCATTCACTTCCTCTCTTCGAAATGTTGCAGCGTTGGGGATTTGCTGGGGGGTCAACGTTCTCGGATTTCCGTCGATTGCGAGTGTGGCAGTGTTCCGTCGATTGCCAGTGTGGCAGTGGTTAACGTATCCCCGTAAAATCAAAGATTTGAAAGAAATAAAAAGAGAGAAGTCACAAAATTCTTGCACCATTTAGAATTATATATTGATAAGTTTAGGTTTACTATTATTTTGAGTTATGGAACAATGATGTGAATCTTTCGATCCAACAGAGCACGACTCTAAACTTGCGGAAGCTTGTATCAAATTACGGCACCAAAACTTGCTCTTGTTCCACCTATAACTCGCCAAAACAACCAACAAATCCAAGGATATTTCGATTCAAGGGTGAATCAAATGGAAAACTCAAAAGATGGTAGACAAGAAGATGAAAGGAGTGTTTTCGGATCGAACCCTATTAGAATGTGTTAATTGAATTCCCAACTCGCGATGGAAACGAATCAATTTGTTCCAAGAGAACTACGAACTCAGCATCAAAGTTAAGAAACACCTAATCTCGAACAAGGATAGCCGCACAGTTTGCAAGAAACCAAATTCAAGCTTATGCACATCAAAAATTAATCACCAAGATTAACACAAAAAGAACTTCACTCGTTCTTATTGGTTCATCATTAAAATTCATCAAATCACATAAATAAAAATTCGGCCAACCATCCTATTTATAGGGATAAACGGGCCTTTACAAAACAAAGCCCAAATTCAAGTAAACCCTAATTGAATTTAGAAAAATATTAAAACAACTAAAATTTAATCCTACTAGGAAAGCAATTAAAAAAACTAATTCTATTACAAGTAAAACTCTTGTAATTGGAAATTACCAAAAACAAGTAAAAATCTTGCAACAAAAATTTACCACAAAAGTGATTAGGATTTTAAGGGGGTCTTAAACCCGTTAAATTCACATCATTCCCTCTTTTCTCGGAAAGATTCGTCCTCAAACCTGCATAACAGCACATAGGGAACTCCATGGAAGCTCTCAGATTGCCAGACTCCTCTCGGACCAGATGCATCTTAACAACCTTGTCATCTTCAATATAGTGATCATCATAGTTTGGAACAATCCCTACCAGTCCATCTACACTCGTATCACTCCCCCTTTCCTCAAAAGATTCGTCTTCGGATCTTAGAGCATATAGTAACAAAGGAAGAAACTATACCTTGATCTTTCATTTTCCATCTTTTGAAACGGTATACCAAAAATATTGAAAAAGGTATGTACTGGATGAAGAACCTGAGTCTTTGTTGAGAATAAATTGCCAAAAATAAAATTTATGTACTCAACTTCTGAATATTGTGGTAAAAGACTTGGCTCTTTCACTTGATCAACTGGAATGACTTGAACCTCAGACACAATCGTCTTGGATACCTCTTCAATGACTTCCTCGGACTCTTCTTTGGTCACCTCCGCCAACAGTTCCTCGCACACATTCTCAGTCACTCCTTTGTGGTCGGTGAGGACAAAGGCAATTTTCAGTTTCTAGATGACGAAATTACTGCCGGTGTATGAAAGCTTTTGAGTTTGCAGGAGCTCCAGGTAGATGATGCCGGAGATCTGAACCATAGTTCAAAGATTTTTCCGACGCAGACGTTAGAGATCGGAGGATTTTACAGTGGTTTCATAATGTATTTTGGCCAAATTAAAAAACAAAAAAAAAGAAAATAAATAAATAAAAATGGCAAGAGCTGCAAGAGACTCTTGTCACGCCCCTTGGACTGAATTGTAAAAGCCGACCTAATCTTGTTATTGGGACAGACCTGACAGTTGGGGGATTACAATTGGTATCAGAGCCGACCTAATCTGGGTGCGGACCCATCTCTGAGCTCACACGTAGGAGACAACTGCTGTGTGACACCTCTGAGCTCGTAGGAGATGTGAGACAAGTGAAACGCATCTGTTGTATATGCTGTGTGTTGCTATGTGTCTATGTTTATTGGGCCTTGCTGGGAATCAAAGATCCAAAGGGGGGTCGAGTGTGATGCCCCAAGGACACAGGTTGGTGGGCTAGTCCAACATCGAGGTTGTGCGAGGGTGAGGCTCAATATATAAGCCTTAAGCTAGTGGTCTACTAGTAATTTGGGTCAACCATTTTGGGTCTAGCGAGGACGATCATCCAAATAGTTATTGGGACAGACCTGACAGTTGGGGCGTTACGCTAATAATGCTATTTTTTCTGAAATATTCATGTAGAGGGCTACGATTGTCGATTCTGAATTGAGTAGGAGCACATCAAAAAATAGAGAGGGAACGAGGTAATACTACTATTTTATTTAATGATTGATGTGTTTTTTGGGTTAGGTTATGTGGATCTAAGGTATGTCCATTCGATTACAAATGTTTGTTCATTGATTTTTTTAGTTTTGTACATCGATTTATTGTTGATTTTAGAAGAGATTAATAGATCTGAGCATTATTCATCATTTCGATATGATTATTCATCGTTGATAATGGGATATTCATCGTTGATAATAGATCTGGGCATTATTCATCAGTCTGATTTGTTCATCAATTTGTTGTCGTTGAACATCAGTTAGTTGTTGTATTTTTTTTCGGGAATATTCACCCGTAAGGAGTGGTTATTCATCGAAAATTTGGAGCAAGAAATTATCAAAAATTTTGATCTTTCCGGCGTTGAGTCTCAGGTAATAATGATTGTTCATCATTCTAATTAAATATAATTTACATTTTATGGATATAGTGTACGATACGCTGATTTATTCATCCCATTAAAAGTGATTGTTCATCCCTTGCGAATATGTTATTCATCATGTTATATGTCCACTGTTGATATTTTGATTTAGATTGGGTGTATGTAGATATGAAGATTAGTCATCATGTTAATCATGATTTTTCATCGTCTATTAAGACGTTATTCATTAAGTATTATGTTCATTGTAGGCATTTAGTCTGGATTAGATGTATACAAAAATAATAATTATTCATCCTCTACTATGCCGTTATTCATCTAAAGAGTGATATGATATAATCATGTGAATGTATATCATTCATCATGTGAATTCAAATAGTTCATCTTTTGAATATGTATTAGTCATACTATAAACATCATTCATCCTGCAAATAAATGTCATTTATTTTAATGAACTGTTATTCATCATGTGATATGTAAACGTACACAATTGTAGCTATGTGTCATTAATCATGTAAAATTGTGTTATTCATCATGTGAATATATGTCATTTTTCCTTTTAATATGTGTTATTCATTCCATAGATATGTGTATTCATCATGCAAAGATATGTCATTCATCACCAATGATGTTATTATTCATCATTTAATATGTACATGTACACGATCGTTATTAACTATTTCGATTTATGTAATTTTAATTAATACTGATTCATCATTTTCAAAACGATTAATCATCTTCAATAGTATTGTTATTGATGATTAACAGAGTTTTGATTAAATGTGAAATCTCACTTATTATAATGTTCTTTTTATTTGATCAACAACAAATAAATGCTCATCAAAATGAAGTCGATCGGTCAGGAATCAAATATTTTGCCAAAGTTGCTAAAATCAAACAATCAACATAAACGTATAGGCAAATCCTGCAAGATGTTAAAAACAATGACTAGTTTTTTTGTTCATTTTTTGTCTAGTATAATATATAATTAGAAGTTTGTTAGTTTAGTTGTTGATATTAACTCATTATAATATATACTCTTGTTATCAAAGTTATTCACCCACTAAAATATATTATTCAGTCATTAAAGTACAATTATTTATCTTGCAAAACTACAACTATTCTTCATTGTAATATTGTTATTCATGTAGGATGGGATCATTATTCATCAGATTTGCATCGTTATTCCCTTTTGTGAATATCGTTATTCATTACAAAATTTAAATTTATTCGTCCATAACGTTGGATCAAATATTTTGGTAGAGTTACTGAAATCAAACAATCAACATAATCGTATCGAGTATCGGCGAATCATTCAATACCTTATATGTTAAGAACAAAGACTAATTTTTTTGTTCATTTTTTGTCTAGTATAATATATAATTAGAAGTTTGTTACCTTAGTTGATGACATTAATTCATTGTAAAATATACTATTGTTAGTTTTTTTTAATCAATGCTATTCATTCTGTTGCGCATTTATTCATCCACTAACCATATTTTTTTCATTCATTAAGTTAAAATTATTCATCTAACAAAAACTATATCCATTGTTTATTCTAGTATTGCTATTAATTTAAGATGCTATCATTATTCATCAAAATTGGTTACATTATTCATCTTTGTAATATCGTTATTCATTTCAAAATTTAAATTTACTCGTCCATAATTTTATAACTATGAGAACACCATTATTCATCCACAATATCATCATTATTCATCGATAAGTATATCATTATTTATCCAAACAAATATCGTTATCTATCAAAATTTTTCAAATTTGACTCTTAATTCTCTGGATTCCATTGTTAATCAGTTGAAATTTTTTGCTCTAATTGATTCTCCATATTCATAAGTCTCAATGATTAACTATAGTCAATTTTATCAAAATAAAATCAGTCGTTAAATAAAACAATTATTCTATTAAATAAAATGATATAAAAACTAACAGAATAAGCAAAAAAAATTTAAAATTAAAAGGGTGACAAAGAAAAGGAATAAAATTAAGGGGATTAAATGCCAAAGAAAAGGATAAAATTGAGTGATTAAATGCGAGTGTCTTGACTAAAAATCAGGACTAAAATGATTACTTTTCTCTGTCAAGTTTGTTAATACACGTATTGCCTGAGTATACATTTCAAGGTATATTTAGGAGTTTGATATTATTTGCCGCAGTAAAAGAGTAATGATCTAAGTCGACTTTTTCATCATGGTAAAAAAGTAGGCTAAAAGGAAATCATAAATA